TGGATTTTCAATCTGCATTCAATGAATAAGTTTATGTCTCATCGTATCTATGTGAAAGTGATAGGAACCCAAGTTGGATGGGTACCTCTATTAAACAGTGATTGCCATGAAAATTGGCCTCCCCTGTTCCAATCCTCAAAGAAGATGCCGATGTTCTTCTTCTGTGAACTCTGTCACCTTCAACTTTCTGGGAAGATTTTAATTCATTTAATCAAACCCCACTTGCTCAGATTTCAATACCCAAATCCAAAACGTAATCCAATTCCATTTCACAACACAATTCCCAAAACAGAGTATTCATAATCGAAATCAAAAACTCACCTTTGAATTTGAGTCATTGAAACACGGATCCGGATCTGATAAGCACGAATGCGAGATCTGGGAAACAAAATCCTGGGTTTTCATCAGCTCTTGTTTATCTTCAATGATATCCATATTGTTCTTCAACTTCTGGGAATGATTCCGAGCTGACACTGAAACAGAGACCGAAACAGAGGCTTCTTTCCCTTTGCTGCCGCCGCCGGCGACAGAGCACGACGGCGACCGGTTGGAAGAATGGGATTTTGTGCTCATTTTCCACGTGGGTGTGTTCTTGAATCTGTATTTAAAGACCAAAGTAGAAGAAGAAGAAGAAGAAGAAGACGACGAAGAACACCTTCGTTTTCTAATCTTACATATCTCCTCTGTTTTCTGCTCTGGCCATGACATTATTTAATCTTCAAAAACCCAAATTCCAAAAGAAAAAAGGAAAGAATACCCACAAATCTTACTAAAGGAGATGAATAAATCGAAGAAAAACAAGAACAAAAGCTCAATAGATTGAAGAAACTGGTGGAGAGTTTACCTATTCGGACGGTGGCTGTTGCAGAGATTCAGGTGAAGTTCAGGCCAGGGGGAGATGGTTTTAGCTTTGAATTCAACGAAGAAAGAAATCATTAAAGATTCTATTTATGGGCAGTTTTGACTCAGAGAGATCTCGAAATGCAGTAAGAAAAAAACAGAGAGAAAAAAGGAAGGGAAGGAAACAGAGACAGCTCTGTTTTGGAAATCTTAAGAGGGAAAGGAAGGAGAAGAAGGGGTGACGTGGCAGCCACGTGAGCATTCAACAGTCAATCAGGGAGTTGCATGTGCGGACCTTGACTGGGTTCTGTGTATTTACATTCTTGTCTCCTTTCTCCCCTCGTTAACCTCCCTTCTGAACGTTCTTTTTTTCTTTTCTTGCGTTTCGGTCCCTGCATTTTCCTCTATTTCCGCAAACATCCCTTTTCTCAACTACCCATCCAAATTGGCAACTACACAGACTATTGTCCTCGTCCGACTTTCCCTTTCGGGCTTCTCGTTAAGGATTTAAAATCCACCCCCTTCGAGGCCCATTTTTCCTTCCTCTAATCGATGTGGGACCACCCTCAAATTCACCCCCTTTGGGCCCAGCGTTCTTACTAACACACCGTCTCGTGTCTATCCCCTCTAGAAAACAGCGAGAAGGCTGACACATCGTCCAATGTCCAGCTTTGATACAATCTGTAACGACCCAGACCCACCGCTAGCACACCACTCGGTGTTTTGTTCTAATATTATTTGTAATAGCTCAAACTCACCTCTAGTAGATATTGTCTATTTTGACACGTTACGTATCGTCGTCGACCTCACGATTTTAGAAAGCATCTACTAGGAAGAGGCTTTCTTACCCTTGTAAGGAATGCTTCGTTTTTATCTCCAACTAATGTGGAATCTCACAATCCACTCAGTAGGGGTCAACATCCTCGCTGGGAATACTACTGAATGTCTGGGTCTGATACTATTTATAACAGCTTAAGCTTACTACTAGCAGATATTATCCGTTTTGACACGTTACTTATTGTCAATTTCACGAACTTTTTAACAAACACAATTAATTTAATTAATTAATGATTAGATAATAATAGAATAGAATCAATGATTGATATCATCTCTTATTATTATATAAATAAAAGACCCCAACCCCAAGCTCATGGGTTATTATATTCATTTAATTCAATTTTATATGTTGTCCCAACCATTATTTTACCACTCAATCCATGATCTAAAAACATGATTAAAGACTCATATTATGACCTTTATTTAATTCAATTTATAACGCTCGATTAAGAAAATAGTACGTGAATTAATCGAGATCACGTCTAAATAAAATTGATATTGATTATATAATGGTGACTAAATACACGTTCTTCCTTGGTGACTAAACAGTACATACTCGTAATCTTTCAGAATTTTTTTAAAAAAATATACGAGTAAGACAAGACATGATTAAAGAACTCGTATTAGTTTATGGTGATAATCTTTATGTTGTTGAAGATGAATTGTCATAATTCTCATTTATTTTGATTATTAAATCTCATTTAGTTTGTCTAGCATTGTTTTGAGACGTGATTGGAAAGGAAAGTGTGAGAGATACACTTGTAAACACTTTGGTTATAGTGATTGGTTACTACCCATGGATGCACGAGAATTTCTTTTCTCCAAACCAAGTAAATTTTTGTGTTTATTTGTGGGTATGTGAGTGCAATAGATATTGTTTCCGCTTTTGCTACAACAATTGAGTATCAAAACATTTTGACTCTAGTATTCTGGTATAACAAGTGGTATCAGAACATTGAAGGTTGTAGCTTTACGGCACAACAAGTAGTATTAGAGCATTGAAGGTTGTGACATTACGACGCACAACAAATGATATCAGACTATTGAAGGTGGTAGCATTACGATGCGGATACGGATGGGTGAGGGCCCATGTTGGTAATATGATGGCTGTATTTGCAACACTGAGACAGAAAAACCCATAAGAAAACACCCAAATCTTGCTTGGACTTGGTACACACACCATTCAGGCCCCTCCATTTCCCCCCACTTTCTCTCTTTTGTTCCTTTCCTCACAACACATCATGTTACTCAACTCTCCCACACTTCCAATCACTCCACCCCCACATCACTCCAAATTCCCTTTTTTTTTTGAGCATCAAAATCCATTCAGGTACAATAAGATAACTCAGACGTAAAAATTTGACGTCTCGGGGTTGTATATATTAGCCACACAATTCTATCGAACCCCTTTTTGCATCGGGAGGAGGACTTTCATTTTAGGGTAGTTAGGTAGTAGCAAATTGGATTGAAAGAGAAAACACAGCCAAAAAGTATCGAATCAGTTCGTTACATCCTGAATCGGAGAATGAATGAATGGATGAAAAGACGAGTTGGTGGACGATAGCATAAACCAAAAACGTACAGACATATAGAAAGCCGATGAAGTTGAGAGATTCCACTGAGTTTGAGCCACAATTTTCATGGATGGATGTGAAATTTCCAACATTTTTTTTTTGTAGCTAATCTCGTTGTTGGTTCTTTGTTGGTGTCTTTTCCTTCCCCACCCGCCTACATCTCTTGATTTTCAGTTCTCATACACGCTCGCGTGTGTCGTATAAAAATTTTGACCATGTCTTTTCATTTTAACTATTTCATCTTTAGCTCACTCTATTTCTTATTATACAAGAATGGAGATCGTAAATTCTATAAATAACAAACCCATTTGGAGTTTTCAATTGTCCAAACCCAATGCCTCCAAAACTGAAGTTGTTGATTGAATTGAATTGAATGGGGTGAAGCATCTCATGCCTTTTGAGTCCAATGAATCGAATTTAAAAAGGTCATTTCATGTTCAATTGGACCACAACTCCAATACTCAAGATTTCAATACATCGAGTTTGTGCCAGCAAGGACGTTGGGGGCTCCAAAAGGGATGATTGTGAGATCCCACATCGATCAAGGAGAGAAATGTCATCGATTGAGAAGGAACACGAGTGCTAACGAGGACGCTGAGCTTCGGAAGAGAGTAAATTGTGAGATCATACATCGATTAGAAGAGGAGAAAGAAGCATTCTTTACAAGGATGTGAAAAAGACATAATTTTAAAAACTTCGAAGAAAAACCTAAAATATGACCATATCTGCTAGTAACTGTGGTCTGGCACTATTACATTAACACCAAACACAGCTCCGATATTGGTCTATTCATAATACACGGACTATAAGGAGGGGCAATATTGGAATTTTTCTCCTTATTAAAAAATTTAATCTTTATTTATTTTTTATTTTTTAAAGATTTTATTATGTCGAAAAATTGATAGACAGATATTCTTGGGGGAGGTAGTAAGCAAAAAAGGCAAAATAAAGGGTAAAAAGGTACAAAAGAAAATTGGTATTTGTTGGTGACTTTTAGATACACTAAAAAAATTTCTCATTTTTATTTATTTATATTTTATTTTACTTTATTCTGTAATTAAAATTTTAATAAATAATAATATTATATGTACTTTTAAAAGCTATCCTTCATCCTCCTTTGACCCTATTTTTTTTTTTTTTCTTTCTTTCTTTCCCCTTTAATTATTAATGCTTATCTTTAATTCAAATTTAATGCTCTCATTTTCATCCTATCTAATTTTGTATTTAATAATCATACATTTATATCCAACTTCATCTTTTTTTTATTTAAATTTAAAGATATCAAAATTATTTTATTCATATATATATATATCCCGATAAGATGACCGACACACGGGTCAGTTCCTAACGATTGTGTTCGAGCAAGCTAAGATGAGCAATGTGTCCTAAGTCATGGGACGACATCAGGATGCATGGATCGTGTTGTTGGGGACTGAGATGAGAATTAGATGCGATATTGTTGTGTCACACACAATTGAAATTCGAGTTTTGATGTTCAGGGGCAAACCATTCTTAATTATTGGTATCAAAAATAAAGAAGCAAATTCAATAGCTTGGGCTGCAACAAGGATTCGGTGTCATTATGTTAACAAAAAAATGGCTCGAGACTCCATAAGTTCAAGAACTTGAGAACGGAACAAAAGACGGGGGACTCAACCGCTATATATATATTTATATTTAAATTATAATTGTACAGGCCTGCCTTTGATTTGGGCTTCTCTTGCTTCGGCCCAAACCATTGAATTTGAATATTGTTAAGAATATATGTTTGGAATAAAATAATGAAGGATTAGGGTTTAATTAGGGAGATTAATCATGATAAATTCAAGTTTATGTGAAGAAGAAGATGAAGAAGGTGCAGAAAGACAGAAAAATGGCGATTCCGGTGAAAACACAGAGCATATCCAAAGCATTCTCGATTCTGTCTTTCCGGCCTTTCCTCTTCCACTTCAGCTCCTCGTATTCTCCGAACCTCAATTTCGCTTCCCCTTTCTGTTCTTTAATTCTCTTCCCACTTTCCATGGCTTCTCCCAGAATCCCGGAGCTCTCCTTCCCGTTCAAATGCTTCCCTTCCATGTCCAAAATCTGCATACTCACCTCTCTAACGCTCATTTCCATCCCATCCTCTTCTTTCTCGCCGCAAATCACCACCACCGAGCACTGTACCATCTCCGTTCTCGACCCCGCCCTCCTGTCGCCGCCCATCATCGTCGTGTATTGTACTTGTATCTCGCCGGACAACCAGTGTCGCCGGACGTTCACTGCCTGCCTACTCGAGACGTTTGCTGCTCTGTTCTTAATTGGGTCGATTACAATCCAACTCGCCGTTAGATTTTGCTCTAGATTAGCTACCCAATCTTCGCGTTTCTCTCGGCGGCGAATCGGCAACGGAATTGAGTCTTTTGGGTCGATTACGTCGACGCGAAATGGGGAGTAGAGGAACCAATTCGTGTGGGTCTCGGTGGAGTGGACTTTGGAGAGGAGGGGTTTGTCCTTGTAATGAATGTCCACAGCGGAGATCAATTCGGAGGAAGGGGAACGGTCGAGATCGCAACGAAGCGACCGGCAATCGAGCAGGGGAAATACGTCGGAGAAGAAGGAGCGGTGTTCGGAAGGGAAGACGGAGATGGCTTGCTGGATACGGGGATGAGTGGTTGAGGGCCAGGTGGCAGAGCAAATTTGACGCCAGAGTTGGTCCTCGGCGGAGAGGTGGCGGAAGCGGGAGGAGGCAGAGGCGGCGGAGGCCAGAGCAGGGCCGTCGAGGCGGGTAAGAATATGAGTCTGGAGGATATCGGAGTGGAGGGCGGCAATGGTGGAGGGAAGATGATGAGAAGAAGGCATGATTTTGACTTTCGGGTTAAGACGGAGCTTTTTGGGATAAAGAAGGGAGAAGGTTTGAGAGATTTTATAGGACAAAAGTACATTATTATTAAGAAATGGTCAACTTTGGGGGTTGAATTGCAATTTGAGAAAACTTTTGGATGATTTTGAAAATAAAAATGGGTAACGAAGGGCATGGTATGTTGAGGAGGGGAGACCATTTTGAGATATTTATAAATTAGGAACCCACATCCATTCTTATCTGTTCTTCAAAGTATCTTTGCCTCTCTTTCCATCAATTTTCATGGCTAAATTACACATTAATAAACGTAATTCTCGTCAAATTTAAGGTTAAATTTCTTTCTTTTTAAAAAATTGATAGGGTCAGTGTTGAATCCTAATCTGCAAGCTTAGGCGATCCTCCAACGATGTCCAACAACGACTAGAATTTGAGTTTAATTGTGGTATTTTACCTAGCACACAACCTTATTTCACAAAAGATATGCTCTAGTAAAACAAGGACAGAAAAATAGAAATGAGATTATACTCAGCTACTCAAAGAACTAATATTTGAAGAAGAAGACAATGCGATAAGATTTTGAACCTGTCGGTGAAGTGTTAAATACAAAATCCAAATAACTCGAACTGGCAAACAGAAGAATGATGGATCAAAACCTGTTCAGCAACAAACACGTGTGGTTAAGTTAGTTAAGTGAATATAATGTATAAATGACTTTAATTGCTAACCAAATCAAACTTTGGTCTAAACCTCATAAAGTAGTTGCCAATTTTGTCAACTTGTGTATGCCCAAATTCTTTAGAATCTCTCCACTTTGAAAAACTGGACAGCCACCTCACTCCTGCATTATTGCCCTCTTTATTTTTCTTTTTATTATTATTATTATTATTATTATTATTTTCCTTTCTTCCTTCTGAACTGCTACCTTGACTTCTTTTCTTTTTTCCTAAAAAATCTTTATATGATTAACTAAAATTTTCTACCGACCAACGTAAGCATAACATAACTAACCAACCCATACATCACAATAAATAAATAAATAAATAAATAACTTTTCTATGGTAACTATTCTCATATTAAAAAAAAAAAAAATCATAATATAAATAAAACTTATAATGAATTTTCATTTTATTATAATATATCCTCAACTATAATTTTACGAGTGGATTATTCTTTCCACTTGATCAATCAATTTGAGAAGTGAAATAGGCATTTAAATAAATATTAGTGTTAAATATTTCTTCAATATTCAACAAAACCACTCCTACTTGAATTATTAAATTCTTAAAAAAGTTGTTATTATATATATAATTTAATGAGCCGCCCAGCAAATGAAAATATTAATTAAAGATTCCTGGAGGAAAAGCTCCCTAAATTTTTCTAAGCCTTTCAATAATTGAAGATAAAATTAAAAATATAACTTAAATCATACAGCTAAAGTAATTGAGAATAACATGAAATAATATATAGTATAGAAGAAGACATACGATGAATTGATGACGAGTTCCAAAGTGGTGCTGCACATTCTCCATTATTGGCTGTCAAGAATATATAAGAATTGTAAATAACGATTTATTTATTTATTTATTAAATTTTGGATTCTTCCCTTTTAGTTTCCCCTTATAAGTGTTGGACACCTCTCTTCATCAGCGATCAATTAATCTAATCATCAATTAGTTCATGAAAGATGTCACTTGACCCACTAATTCTCTTATTAAAGAAAAAAAAACTAGAATGTATTCTATTTTAATCTAAATACTTATCCTCCATCTATTTTATAAAAATATTGGCTAAATTAGACTATATAGACTTCAATTCTAGTCAATCGTATTTATCGGCCTATATTAAATAATATAGACCGGATGAAAGAAAAAGAATATAGGCTGGCGGAAAGATGTGGTTCATGAATTCTTTTCTGCGAATCTTTTTCCTTGACTAGAAGTTCCTAGAAGAGACAAAAAGAGGCAATGGAATTGTGAGACCGAGAGGGAGAGGAGATGTTTTGATATCAACTAGTTGGTCATAAGAGAAAGCTAATAGAGCTTGTCCATCACAACATGTGCGATGTCCTTCCCCACTAACATTCAGAAAAAACATTTTTTGTTGTTCCGTTTCCCAACTCTTAGAACGTCCATTCCTTGTAATCAAAATCCTACATCTAATCACTATAACTTTAACAACTCAATTGAACAAACGCAGTGACATGACTTGTGTAGCAAGAAATTTCTGCTGTGGAACATGTCAACGCTCAGCCTATGGGTTCACAATAGGATATTCTTGATTCAAAGTGGACTTTGGGTTGCTCCAACATAGGATTACTCAAATTCAAACCTACGTAGCTTTGGAATTTCAATGATTGAGCCACTAAAAAAAAACTTCAATTAAGTGTGTTATGCTTGGAGCAATACTATGTTGGGTGACCTTTTGATAATTTTACTAGAAAGCATGAGTAAGGACAGAACATGATAGAAATGACTCATATTGGTCTGTGATGATAGTCAAAGTTGTCACGTATCGAATCCAGACTCTAGATCTTAACCCTAATCTTAGACATGAATCGTTATATCAAAAGCAAGGAGTGCAAGAGCCTAATGGACTTCTCTCAAACACTTCCTTCCTAAAATGGTATTCTGCTTACTAAGCAGGTCACATCAACCTACATTATTAGAATACAACGGACCTAACTATAAAAGATGTGTGATTTTTCAAGTTGCCTGAATACCTGTCCCATTAACCAAGCAATTCTTTCACCTATGCTCTAGAGTAGCTAATATGTGGGCCAAGTACAAGCTTAACAATTAAGACTTTCCATATAAAAATACACGTTTAACTTGAAATTCATCTCGGCATAGCCATAGGTTTTGGCACTTGGATAATCACCGGTCATATCAGTAAGTGGATAGGTATTGACACGACTCATGGGGAATATTGATATTGGTTCCTCCATAAAAACCTTTCTTGGGCAATAATTTGTGACAGTTGGAAAATGCATTTGGTAACATGTCCTTTAACTTTATCTTTGTTAGGAGATTATGATTCTAGGACAATTTTGTAAACGACAAACATGTTATCTGCACAAGTAGTTTTGTCTATGTATAAAAAGATTAGAGGCCTAAATACTTATTGTAAATTCGTGAATAGTGATATTCAAAAGTTCAGATTAACCATCCAACAAATTGATAAATAGAGATGCTCTTAGAAAATTTATTTTCATACCGTATATTACAGCTTCCACTATTGGGTGCAAAGGTATGTATTTGAGATGTTGGCCTAAAACACAATTTGAAATAAAATTAGCATAGTTTTTGTAGATAAAGACACTTTTACCGCCTCACAAGTCAATGATTCGATCTCTCATTTTGTAATTGTTGAATCCAAATTTTCTTTTTTTAAAAAAAAAATGATATCCCAACAATGAAGCATATATCTGTGAATGTTTTACCTCATAAAATAAGTTAAAAGCTCGACTATAAAGACTGCCCTGTGACAAGCGCTGATATTCTGATATACCTTACCTGATACACATACACATATCGTTATTTGTTAAAACGAACATAAAAATAAGTTTTCGTTTCTAATGAAAATTTCTCACCACTGAACCAAAGTAAACCATCAAAGAATTAGGAAATCTCTAGTTTATGCAAACCTAGCACAGTAAAAAATGCATTTTAGGGAAATCATATATGCTCTCCATCCAAAACACATATCAAAAACAAGAAAGGATCTTTTAAGTAGAAAGGGCTACCTTATTTATATCTGTGGCCGCAACATATCCCTGATCTATCTTCCTCGCCTTCATCCTCTTCCCCATGAAAGATAATACTTGGGGCAGTGGAAAAAATTTCAATGTAACCGTAGAAGTAGATACTGTCCATTCAACTACATAAGTATGATGGATCCCACATTAACAAAATAATATATCTATTGATTAGGTGGCTGAATATCAACATCATATTACCAACAACCAAATGTGTTTTTGAAGCAATGCCACCAGTCCACATCCTTAGTTTCTTCAAGTGGAAAGTCCAAACACCTGTATACATTCCTTGGAGTAGTTGAGCAAAATAATAAAAGTGGATATGGGGAGAATTACAATCACTTCAAAAGAAACCAGACAGAATAAAGTTAAGACTAAGAGTGAAATTTTCTACAAGGATAAACTCAAAACCTTCTCTCCATGAAATTCCACCTCTGCTGATGGGGACAATTTATGATCCATTCATTGAAATCCTCTAGAACGTCATCAATTGGATCCTGACAGAAGATCTCTATAGTGCTTATGAAAATATCAGGCCTTCAGGTTAGGCCAAGATTTAAGCTTAAGATTAGAAGAAAAATAATACACACTGATACAGATTAGGGCAAGATTAAAGCTGCAGATTAGGGAAAATTCATGAAGAATAAGCAAATCATAAAAGACTGTGAGTTGAATACAAAGAAAGAGTCAGCATTCATTTTCAGCTTCTACTCAGAGAACTGAAGTAACTAAAAAAATGTAATTCATGAGAGTCAACAAAGAGAAGGAAAATGGGACAAGGGTTATGGAAGTAATTTGACTTTTCAGATGGCGAAAGTGAGCGTGCAATAAATAAAAGTGTAGAAGAAATTGAAATGAAACGCTACCAAAAGGGATCTCTACAGCGCAACGCAAAGTGAAGCCTTCTTCTCTGAAAGAAAGAACCGACTGGACCGATTTACGTCTTATTTGGTCTTTTTGGAGCGGTTCGCACCACAGACCAAGGAGATCGGTGCAACGGTTTTCCATGCTTTAAGCCCCATTACACTGCAATTATAGGATAAAAAATAATAAATAATAAATAAAAAAAAAGAAGTCGACTCCAAGTCAGGTTGCATGTGGTACAATCAATCTATTCAAACCGGAGGCAAGAAAAGGGGAAAATGACCTTTGAAATAGCAAAATCTTCAATTCAAATAAGATATGGCAACAAATATCAAGCAATTTACAAAACGAAAATAATAAAGATGAACAAATAGTCAGTTGCAAAAGTACAACGCGACGAGCTTCCAAGAGCAATTGCACGCATACTGCAGCCACAGGAGAAGAATTTACAGGGACAAATCTAGAAAGTTTGCAGCTTTATGAACATGGTATTGTATGTCAAGATTCTGTGGTGAAAAGCCGCTGAATCCATCCTTCGATTTGAAAGTCCCGCAGATGAGCTTAAAATCCATCATCATAGCATACCCGTTGAGGAATTTAAGATCTGCAAGAAGATAGAGTAATGCCCCCACAGAAAGCAGCAACTATTGCATACAGCAATACTACGATCAAGCATGTCATCAGAGCTCTGTAAAGATGGAAA